GCGTTTCTTCAACACCACCACCAGAACTCTCATTCTCTTCTTCGATTTCTCACTTCCAATCACGAATCCAACCGATTCTCAACAAACCCAGATTCCAAAGTCTCCGAATTCGCGTTTCCCTCGCATCGGAAACTCAAAACCTTCCACGAGACAGTCCTCAACGTCTCCTCAAGGAACTCGCGCAGCGAAAACAAGCAACAACAGGACCAAAGAAGAAAGTACCACCAAAACGATTCATCTTAAGACCACCATTAGATGATAAGAAATTAGCAGAGAGATTCCTCAATAGCCCTCAATTGTCACTAAAGTCGTTTCCTTTACTAAGCTCTTGTCTTCCACCTTCGAAGCTAAACAACGCAGATAAAACATGGATCGATGAGTATCTTCTTGAGGTTAAACAAGCTTTAGGGTATTCTTTAGAGCCATCTGAGAGTTTAGACGATGAGAATCCAGCGAAACATTTCGATACTTTGCTTTACCTTGCGTTTCAACATCCGTCTTGTGATAGAGCTAAAGCTAGGCATGTGAAGAATGGACATTCTAGGCTTTGGTTTTTAGGTCAGTATGTGCTTGAGCTTGCTTTGTCGGAGTTTTTCTTGCAGAGGTATCCGAGAGAATCTCCTGGTCCTATGAGGGAGAGAGTGTTTGCTTTGATTGGTAAAAGGTATCTACCGAAATGGATTAAAGCAGCGAGCTTGCAAAATCTCATCTTTCCTTATGATGATATGGATAAGTTGATTAGATCAGATCGTGAGCCTCCGGTTAAGTAAGTTTCTTCTCTTTCTTTGCTTTTAGAATCATAATTTCAGTGGCTTTGAGCTGAGGGTTAAGTCTTGAACGAGTTGAAACAAGGAACCAAATTGAGTTTAATATCTGGTTTTTGTTGTAGTATGAGTTAGTGAATGTTGTTTGGTTCTCTTACAAGAACTTGTTTGGGAATAACATTGTGTGTTCAGATACATTATAGTTGCTAAGATGCCATTGAACTTGTTTGTGAGATTCATTTTGTGTTTAGATAAGCCGACATTTTGCCATAAATTGTATACATTATAGTTGCTAAGATGCCATTGAACTTTTTTGTGAGTTTCATTCCGTGGTTAGATAAGCCGACGTTTTGGCATAAGTTGTATACATTGTAGTTCCTAAGATGTCATTGTTCATCCTTAATTTCATTTGCAGCTTTTTACTTTGTGTAAGCTGTCAGTTCCAAAGTAATGACTAAACGTATCGTTCTTTCGATTTGGAGCAACTGTTGATGTAGCCTTCATTGCTAAGAGCTTTTCTCTGACTAGGATAAGATCCATATATCTGTTTGTCCTTTGTCTTGCAACAATTCGGTTAAAAGACCTGTGTGGAAGATTGGTATGGTCTAGAGTTTCTCTTTGATTCAATTAGAGGATTGGGAAACTCAACGAGTCTGTGCATCAAAATATCACAAAGTATTTACTGTGACATGATTTTGCCATATTAAATTGTCTTGTTCTTGCTAGATCTGTGTTCTGGGCTTTGTTTGGTGCCATCTATCTATGCTATGGGATGCCGGAAGTGTATCGTGTACTTTTTGAGGTATTTGGGATGGATCCAGATGCTGACGATTGTCAGCCTCGAAGCAGGAGACAGCTCGAGGATGTAGATTATGTTTCTGTTGAATTTGAAGGCAAAAAGCTAGGCTGGCAAGATATTGCTGCTTACAAGGTAGTGAATCAAGTTACAAGATCATTGCTAAGTTCTTAGGTTGATCGAAATAGAGTGTTGAGTCTCAAAATGCATTTTCTGTTTTGTTTTGTCAGCCCCCGGAAGATGCTTTATTTGCACACCCGAGGCTATTCAGAGCTTGTGTTCCACCGGGAATGCATCGTTTTAGAGGAAACATATGGGATTTCGATAGCAAACCCAAAGTTATGCAGGCCCTCGGATACCCTTTACCGATGAATGACAGAATCCGGGAGATAACTGAAGCAAGAAACATCGAACTTGGACTCGGATTACAGGTAAAAGAGCAGTTCATCTTGGGCTTTGTCATGCGCTTTGTTACTTTCCTTCTTTAACTTTTATTTCACTTCCCTGAAATTACACAGCTCTGCTTCTTGCACCCATCAAAGCATAAGTTTGAACACCCGCGGTTTTGTTTCGAGCGGCTGGAATATGTAGGACAGAAGATACAGGTGAGAATAACTATCTCGCATAGTCGCATCTTAAAATTTCAATGGAACCGTTCTTTTTAACCCTGTATTTCGTCACTGGATCATGCAGGACATAGCAATGGCTGAGCGTTTGTTAATGAAGCACCTGGACGCACCGGGTAAATGGCTACAAGAGAAACATCGGCGTTTGTTAATGAACAAATTCTGTGGTCGTTATCTCAGGGAGAAACGTCTTCACAACTTTATAATCTACTCGGAGGAGGTTCATGATCGGTATGAACATAACCGTAGACTTAGAAATCCGGCAACAACCGCTGTTCAACAAGCCATTCACGGCTTGGCATACACCATCTATGGCAAACCGGATGTTCGACGGCTCATGTTTGAAGTTTTCGACTTCGAACAGATTCAACCTAAAGCTGTCTGAAAACAGAGTCTCTCTCTCTCCCTTTTCATATAGTTTGCTTCTGTATTTGATTTCTGTAGCTTAAACTTCATTAAAGTTGAAACTTTAACAAGGCTTCAAACATCAGATGATACCAAACTGTTTTTATTTTTATAACTTTG